CCACCACGGTGCACTAGGAGGATTAAACTTCCAGACGATGCGTTGTACTGCTGTACACCGAGTTATTGCGTCCCAATCCAAATTCCCAAACGAACTTTCCGCACCCACAAAGTTTGTTCCATTGTCACTATAGATTGTCTTAGGACGTCCCCGTCTTGCCACGAAACGACGTAATGCTTGTATAAAAGCATTTGTGGACAATGACGTCACCAATTCAAGGTGGATGGCCCGATACACCGCACAAGTAAACAAACAGATCCAGACCTTATTCTCACTCTTGAGGTACAAGGGTCCTGCGAAATCAACTCCCGTCACTGCAAATGGAACCGCGTCACGTACACGATCTTCAATCAACGGTGTTGATTCCGTTGTAAATGGTTTTCCACTTTGCCTTTTACAGACAACACATTTAGAGATAGCTGACCTAACCGTACGTCTACCCCCAAGTATCCAGTACTTTTCTCGAAGAAGGCTTGTAAGTCCCTGAACACCAACATGGCAAAAGTTTCTGTGGTACTCACAAATAACTGGAAAACGGAAATCATCCTTATCTTGTCGATTTGTCATCTGTGTCTTTACTCGTAATAACCTATGCTTATCTCTAAAGGGTTTTAAGGTACACAACCTTTTATCATTCTCATCATGAAAACATTCGCTCTGAATCAATTTTAAAATAAAGGTTTCTGCTGTATTAATTTCTCCCACCATCAACTCTCCTGATCGTTTTTGATGTCGATTTTTAATATTAAACGCTAAACGGTAAAGCCATCCTACCATTCGTAAAATCTTATTATAGCTTGAAAAATAAGTAAGATGCCATTCTTCTGATAAAGAATTATTAAGCATACTGGTCACCTTTCCTTTTAACCGCTCTTGATTGATTTCTTCTTCATTTAAATTCGTTGATTCTTGAGGCAACAATTGCTTAGGAGAGCAACCTCTAGAGGGAAGATCTGCAGGGTTTTTCACTCCTGGAACATGCATCCATGCATCAGGTGGCGTCAAGTTTCGTATTTCGTTTACTCTATTTCGAACAAAAATAGACCACTCTTCAGTTTTACGAATCCAGGATATGACGGTTGTAGAATCACTCCAAAAATAACAGTGTCCCTGTCCAGACAAAGATTCCTTTACATTGGCACATAATCTAGATCCTATTGTTGCCGCCAACAGTTCCAGACGTGGTACCGAAACTTTCTTTAAAGGAGCCACTCTAGCTTTAGCCGCCAACAAACGAATAATAACCTGTTCGTTTTGGGCGATACGCAGAAACACTACCGCAGCAAATGCTTTTTCACTTGCATCACAAAATGTGTGAAGACTCCAACATTGTAGATTGGAAGGAGTAAGTCCCGCCCAACGCGGAATTTCAACCATCATCAAACTCTGCAACTCTTTAATCCATTTACAGAATTCAGTTGCAGTTTCCTCATCCACAACCTCATCCCAAGATAACTTCGTCTTCCAAAGCCGCTGGAGAAGCAATTTGGGCACCATAGTGGTAGGACATAAAAAACCGATTGGATCAAACAACTGTTGAGCAGCAGAAAGCATCTTTCTTTTCGTTATTTTTCCTTCCAAACTAATTGTTTCTTGTAAAGCTTTCATGTTGATGGTCAACGTATCTTTTCTTAAATGCCTATTTAACCCGAGCACAGACACATTCTCCGCTTCTCGACTGTCAGAACTGTTATACTCCCACCCTCTGAGATCAAAACTGGCTTCTGTCATAACGATACTGGCCTCTTTAATGAATTGAGTCAAAATGTCTTCGTCGGGAACACTGGTGGTGCAATTATCCACATAAAAACTATTCTTCAAGCGTAACAACGTATCACGAGTATACGGGATATCAGGGTTCATACACCTATCTAAACTCTTCATCAAATGATAGTTTATTGTTGCTCCCAAAAGAAATGGGCTGCTACTAATTCCAAACACCACCCTCCTATGACGATAGACCCTTTCAGTTCCATCTGGTTCCAACCACAGAAATTTTAGAAAGTCTCTGTCCTCTTCTGATAAACTTATCTGGAGAAAAGCTTTACGGATGTCAGCTATTACACCAATTTTAAACTCTCTAAATCTCAGTATAATAGACGGAATTAATTCAATTAGATTAACGCCCTTATCCAAGCAATGATTTAAAGAGGGGCCACTCCTGTCTCGTGCTGACGCGTCAAATACCGGTCGTATACGCGTAGTTGAATTATCCTTTATAACAGGTCTATGTGGTAAATAATGTCCCTTTCGTGAATCTGGTTTCGTCACTTCTTCTATTATTCCTTCGGACAACCACAGTTTAAAAATATCATCATATGCTTCGTATAGTTTGACACCACGTAACTTTCTTACAGTCGTTTCTAGTCTCTTCGTTGCTTGCTCAAAATTAGTAGGTAACGGAGGATGATCTGCCAACCAAGGAAGCTTCACCTCGTATCGACCTTCATTATTAATGGTGACGGTATCCAAAAAGAATTTCTGCACTGACAGCGCTGATTCCTCTCGACTTTTTTTCTCTATTGGGTCTTTTATACCCAAAACGTCTAAATCCCAGAGCTCAGCTATGGGGGTGTCTTTTACCAAACCGGAAAATGTCATATTAGTCCGGAATAAACCAGTACGTGATTTTCCTAATAATGTCCATCCCAAAACAGTTTCCATGGCCACCACACCAGATTTCAAAATTTCTCGTCGCCCCGTATAAAGAGCGCCCGCGAAATCAGCGCCTATGAGAAGCTCGATAGGGTCGCAACCTTCAGCATCCTTTATCTGTATGCCGAAGGATTTAAGTTCATCATTATATAGTCCACGTGACATAGATGAAACTCCCTGACATATTAATTTTTGGTCAAGTACCTCAATCTCATAAGTACACGAACCCTTCACCAACTTAATGTCGTAACAATTATGTGTTTGTGTCATTTGAGATCCACCAAACAATCCATGATTTATCGTCTCCTTTCGTTTTGGGCCATAACCTAGCGACGCAGCGATTGTTTTAAGAATATAAGATCGTTGCGATCCACTATCGATCAATGCTCGCACAGAACGAAGGCCATTTGTTGTTTCAATATTTACATGTAAGGTTTGCAGTAGCACCTCATTTGTGGATTGATTCGATAGCGTCTGATCAACCTTTTCGATTTTATCAATTTTATCATCTGCTGATGATTCATTTCCTCGCTGATGGTTAGGTAAATTAGGACACATTAATACTACATGCTTTCTATTACAAAGAATACATTTTAATTGACTTTTGCATTTCTTTGACAAATGGCCTATTTTAATACAACAATAACAAGCCCTTTTTTCTGTTACCCTCTTTTTTTTCTGCTCCATAGACATTTTCTGAGCCTTGAAACAAACTGCGCTCTCATGTGAGCCCTCACAGAAAATACATTTGTTGAACTCTGAATTAATCAATCCAGCTGCAGTTGGTATATTGGGTAGGATTTTTTGCTCCATTTGTTTTTGTTTGTCCCTCTTTTCACCAACGTCCCTTTTTATTAAGTTCGTCATGGAACGAAGGCCAAAACCCTCTGCTGCAAGCGTAATGCGCTGCTCGTTTTCCACTTCAGCTTTTAGAAAGGCCATTAATTTTTGGAGACGGTCCTCTAACGTCGACACATTGTTAGTTGAATCTGATAAAGCACTCGGCAAGGCATTTGGCAACCTTTGCCAGACCCTTAAAAGATCTTCCGGTAAACACGATTCTATAAGTGGGAATATTATCGCGGAACATTGACCAGAAGTAATCCCAAGTGTGTCCAATGCCCGCAATTGCGTCTCAAGCTCGTCATATAATGACGAAATGTCAGGCCTACTTGTTGATGTTGCGTTAACCAAAATTAATCGTAATAAACCTCGAACGTACACTTCGATTTGAAGATCCTCACGACCGAAACGCGCTTTAAGACTATCGACGATTTTCTCGTAATTATCAGCCAAAGCGGGAAAACTATCGACGAGTTGTCTTGCACGACTACCCGGAACCGTTGCCTGCGTTAAATAGTCAATTTTATCGTTTTCGTCTATATCGGTGGCTTCATGCACTTTTTTAAACTGCCCCCAAAAAGGTAACCAGTCTTTAATGTTGCCGTCAAACTTTTTAAACTCAATAACAGGTAATTTAAATGTACGCTTACCCGACTGCCGATGGACAGCGCCATTCGATACATGGGTGTCAACACTCACCCCTGATGCTCGATCTTCTACCAGTAGCTTTTCACATTTCACCTTTATATGTGTGAATTTCCTAAATATCACATTCGTCGACTTCGGTGACCAAGTCTTGTTCCTCCGTGTCGACCTCCAAAAGTCCAGCATAAATTATGGCATCAGCCGCTCTCAAGTCTTCGTACTTTTGTAACAACATATTCCATGCCACTTGGATACCCTCAATGTCTTTTGGAACAGCCACCAGCAAAGACTGTTGCTCATTAACATAGCGCGTCACTGCACTACGTAATACTCGCCGGTTTTTCCTTTGTGCTTCCATTATTATTATTATAGGTTAGTTCATACAAGTTTCGATTCAAAATCACGTACTTTTATTAGAATACCAATGCAAAAGCCGTATAAACTCATCTCGTACGTACTCACGTAACCATACGACGAACTAACTGTAAAAATTGTCCTGTCACGGTCGCCATTATGTTCCGTCCACAAACAAAACTACCCGTTTTCCCCGGACGGCCAGGTTCTCTTCTTAAGACAATAATGTCAAGCAAAACTCTTTATTAGCACACAGTTTTAACATAACATAATTAAACCGGTCATGTCTAGAAATATAATAAATCTAAAAACTTCATTCTAACAACAATTAAATTCTGACATTGATACAACAAAACTCTCTGACACTTCGTGCAGTGATATACAGGGATATAAATCAAAATTTACATACATTGCTCATAAGCATCTAACAAGAATCATTGCTCAAATTTCAAAACAACACAAGCGAATATTCGATGGAATCAAATTTAATCTGATCAAATTAGAAGAACCAAACGAACAAATCCCACCAGAATTTATTCGCCCAAGGAAAGGCGAGTTAAGGAGAATAAGGCCAGGTGAGTCTTCTTCTGGAAAACTGGGAGAAGAACGAATAGTTCTTTATACAGCGAAGAGGAGAAGATCCAGTTCTCCAGCTGAAAGGAGAAGGCCCTGGAGTGGGGAGAGAACCAGGAGGCGAAGCAGGTCCCTATCCCCAGTTGGTAACACTTACCACCAACAACAAAATCAAAATATTCTAAATCACCAAAATATTCAACATCATCAAAACATTCATCATCATCATAATATTTGGATGCCCCCCGTGGTCATGTATGACCCACGCATTCATGGCCCATATGTGAATATGATGATACCAAATGTCCGCCCCATAATGTATCCCCATCCTTATCCTCCAATCTTCAATAGTAGGAGAAACCAACCCCAGAGTTCTAACCATGAGTCTGAGGAAGCCTAATGGTTATGTTTTGTGTTTAAAGGTACTAATTATTTATAATGTTTAATTAATTATATAAATTGTTGTTGTAAATATAATTTTAAATAAATAAAAATTTTGCAAATTAAAACAAAATCAAATGCAAAAACACTTTAAAACTAATAAATATGCAGAACGAAGAAACAATAAAACAATACAGAAAAATAACATACCAAGGACAAATAAAAAATAATATCAATACAATTTTTAAAAAATATAACCTAAAAACAGCTATAAGGACAGAAAATAACATTTATAACATTTTAAAAAATGCAAAAGGAACACCTATTTTACAAAAAAACGGAGTATATAAACTAACATGCAATGACTGTAACGCAGTGTACATAGGAGAAACCGGAAGAAGTTTTGAAACTAGAATCGAAGAACATTTGAAAAATAAAAATTCAAACTTCGGTCACCATCTAATAGAAACAGGACATACATTTAACAAAAAATAAGGAATAGAAATTTTACATATTCAAGAAAAAAATCAAAAACTCACATTATTAGAAGCGTACGAAATTGATAAACAACAAAAAAACAATAAACAAAAAAGCCTCAACGAACAAGTAAATTTATTCTATAAACCAATTTTTAAATTCTTGAATATTAAAATTTGAGAAGACGACCCTGGTTAACCATCTGATACATTTTTAACCTAACATTTTAATAACTGTGTATTTGTTCTATTTTATTTATTTACTAATATAAATTGTATATATGTTTAATGTAATGAATGTGATAAAATTGTGTTTATATTTAAATTGACGTGTAAGTAATTTTAAAGAAATATTTTATAATAATTTAATTTTCGTTTGTAATAAATTGTAGAGTCCCCTGATGATGGCCTAGGCCGAAACTAGTAGGAATATAAAAATAATAAATATAATTGCAGATAATTGCCCTTTTTATTCATATATATATATAATACTACTGCAATGGATCATATAATTCAAAACATTATTATTATTATTATTATTATATAAGTAAAATTTTTTGAATTATCCAATATTCCCAATCCGACAGATAATTATTGGATTCTTTGATGAAAGAAATTAAAACTTAATTTTCGGATAAAATTTTTTTACCATATCAGACGTAAATTAGAAAACTTTATTATTTATTTACTTTGAACAAGGATAATTGGAGTCATTATTTAACTAAAAAAATAACTTATATACATATATATATATATATATATACAGGGATGGTAATGTGCTCTTAGGCCGTTTAATAAATAAAGACAAATGCATTATGAGGCGTGGAAGTGGTGGAGTGACGTAATAGTGGTGGGGCAGGCCAGACCGCGCCGCGCCAGGGCTGGATGCTCCCGTGTACGAGTTTTGGTTCATGCCGCGCATGCCGTGCGAATACACGAATAATAGTAATATTATCAAAGAAAATAAAGAAATATCTGGACATGATGCGTTTTTATTAAACTTAATATTGAAGAAAGTTTTATAATATGGATAATAGATGCTTTTAGTCCTTGATAACATTTAGGTGTTTGGTGTTTTAAATTGCCTATTCTTTTTGTTTCCACAAATCAAAGTTTTTCGGAAATCGATTATGTAACGAAGATTTTACATGCACCTCTCTGACATAACAAATAAGGATGGTTTTTTGTTAACAAAAAATAACAGAATGCGGTCGGAGAGATTAGTCAGTCTTATTATATTATTCATTGCGATCGGATGTATTTATTGTTCTCTTTCTTGATTAAATTAAAACTTTAGTATTATTTTAAATATTTGTCAGCCTAGGAAAAAGTAATTTACAGTTCAGGTGTGGAGTGTAATTCACGAGTTTTTGTTTTTTTTCCTGTATCTGCAAGCGTAAAAGTTACGCAACAAAGAAAAGTTCTTTGTTTGCGTTGTTGTTTTCATAGATATTATTATTATTATTTAGTATTATTTCTTGTTTAGGGTAAAAGTTACCCTGGATCTTTGGACAAAAGTGTTAGTTCGTGTTTAGCTGTAGAAATTTAAGTGGTTATATAGTTTTTTTGGCATTGGATTTTAATTTTACAATTTAAGCTAAATTAAGTAGTTTATAAAGTGATTTTTTTGAACTAACGTAAAAGTTACGTTGCAAACAAAAGTTGTTTTGCATATCTTGTTAATATTTTGAAAGTGTTCTGCGAAAAATAGTGTTCAAAATGCCTAGAGCCAGTAAACGTGCACGAAGTAGCTCCAGTAGTAGCAGTAGCTCTACTTCAAGTTCCTCATCAGACCATGCAAGGTTTAGAAGAAGAAAAGGGGGTAAATATCATTCTGATAAAAGATCTTTTACACCTGTAGAGTCTGATGATGGCAAAATAAAAAGACTAGAGCGAATGATCGACAAACTGTCTAAGGAAAATGCCGAATTAAATCGTCAAAGCGGAATAAAGCTTGTTGTAAAAAGCGACTGTATTCCTGAATTCTCGCCAGATAATAAGTCGTTAACAGCAGACCAGTGGTTGGAAAAAATTGATCAATTGAAACAAATCAATGGATGGAATGACGTAACAACGACTTACCACATGCAGTCGCGTTTGACAGGTATGGCCAAAAGTTGGTATCATAGTCTGTCAAACTATAACAACAGCTGGAGCGAGTGAAAAGCCTTGATTAGGAAAACGTTTCCTGAAAACATTGACTTTGCAACAGCTTTAAGAAATATGTTAAATCGCCATAAACAGCCTGATGGGTCAATGACAACTTATTATTTCAAAAAAATGGAGTTGCTAAGAATCTGCGAAATAACAGGCAAAAAGGGTGTATCGTGTATCATAGACGGGATAAACGATACTGTCATTCAAAATTCTGCTAGAGCAGGCAGGTACGAAACACCAGAGGCACTCTATGAAGAATATTTATTCGCACTAGCTGGGGACTGTATAAAAACGGCTGGAGTAGAAAAAGTTTCTACGTTGGTAAAACAAACTGATCTGCGAAATGTCTTGAAAACTAAACATAGGAGCCCACCAGCTGTTTTCCAAAGGGTCATGTATGCGATATTAGGCACTCTTCGTTTTACTTCAGTTATGGCTTACTTGGATGACGTTCTCATTCCTGCTGCCGATATAGAAATTGCCTTGAAGTTACTTGAGAAAGTACTAAACCTATTCAAAAATGCTAATATTACCCTAAGATTAGAGAAATGCAGATTTTTGCAGAGCAAAATTGAATATTTGGGGCATGAGATCGACAAAGATGGGATCCGACCAGCTATGCATAAGATAAATGCAGTCTCGAAGTTTTCTACGCCCAAAAGCGTGCATGACGTCAGAAGATTTCTTGGATTAGCCAGTTACTTCAGAAAGTTCATTATGAATTTTGCCCTAACAGCCAAGCCGTTGACAGATTTAACGAAGAAAGACGTGGTCTTTACTTGGAATGAAAAAGAAGAAAACGCTTTTGGGGAATTAAAAGAAAAATTGGTGACACGCCCGGTCCTAGCAATTTATGACCACCAGGCAGAAACTGAAGTGCACACAGATGCAAGCAAATGGGGCGTTGGTGGAATGTTACTACAAAAACAAAACGACGGGTCCCTTAAACCGGTGCAGTACTTTAGCCGTGCGACCACTATCGAAGAGCAAAAATACCATTCCTACGAATTGGAGACGTTAGCCCTAGTAAACTCCCTACAAAAATTTAAGGTCTACCTTATAGGAAAACATTTTAAGGTTATAACAGACTGTAGTGCACTAAGAACTACGTTGAGTAAGAAAGACCCAGTGCCAAGGATTGCTCGTTGGTGGTTAGCCACACAAGAATTCGACTTTGAGATCCAGTATAGACCAGGAAGTAAGATGGGTCACGTGGATGCTCTAAGCCGAAATCCATTTGAAAGCAGCGACGGTTATGATGAAGTCCAAATGCTTCCAGTAAATATTGACGAAGATGATTGGGTTTTGACTGCACAGCTCGAAGACGAAAAGTGTCGTCAGATGCATGCTGTGTTGGGTGAGCCACCGCAAAGTGCGGAAGAGAGAGAGACTCATACAAATTTTATTCTTAAAAATAACCGGGTGTACCGAAAAACTGACCAGGGTTTAAAATGGGTTGTACCCAAAAGCTCCAGAAGACGAATTCTAATGTTCTATCATGATGGTGCAGGGCACTTGGCAGTTGAAAAGACTCTTGAGGCTATTAAAAATCGTTATTTGTTTGCGAGTATGCTAAGATACGTTAAAAATTACATACTAGCCTGTTTAGGGTGCTTGTATAATAAAAAACCTTCTGGAAAGATACCCGGAAGTCTACACAGTATTGAAAAGAAAAGTGAACCTATGGATACCCTGCACCTTGACCATTTAGGACCTTTTGTCAAAAGTGTTAGGAAGAACTCTTATGTCATTGCAGCTGTGGACGCGTTTACCAAATTTACCATGATAAAAGCGGTTCCAAATACAAAAACTTCTTTAGTCGTACGATTCCTAAATGAAATTATAGGAATGTTTGGAGTGCCTAGACGTGTCATTTGTGATCGTGGAACCGCATTTACCAGCAAGGAGTTTTTCAAGTTTTGTGAGGACTTGGGAATTAAAAGAGTATTATGTGCCACCGCAACTCCAAGGGCAAATGGGCAAGTGGAAAGAATGAACAGAGTTATTCTGGCTGCCATAAATGCTTCTGTAGAAGATGAAGACCGCTGGGATGAGAGTATCAGTCGAGTGCAATGGGGAATCAACACCACTGTTAACTCCACAACCGGGAAAAGTCCCTACGAAGTTCTTTTAGGTTATAGACCTAGGGGAATAAATGACTCCTTTCTAGTTTATGAGGTATGTGAAAACGAGCCTCAGGACTTGAAAGAAGTGAGAGCTAAAGTAGCCGAAAATATAGAAAATCAACAGAAAGTACAAAAGTTGTACTATGATGCAAGGCATGCTAAGCCTAAGAAGTATAAGGTTGGACAAAAGGTTCTTGTTCAACGAGCAAAGTGCTCAAATGATGGTAAGAGTAGAAAGCTCGAGCCAAATTACCATGGGC